ACGAGATGAGACGGACATGAGGTGGTTCACACAATCGACAACAAATGAGTTTCAGTTAAGGTTATACTGTTGACATAGTCGACACACATGGTATATGAATAAGGAAGCGCCACAGTTAACCTTTGATCATGGGGCTTACTCCTGTTTGGTTGTATCTTCATGTTCTCGTTTAGCTTTTTCGTATATTGCCTTCAGAAACTCTTCAAGGTTGATGCCGGCCTCTTCCGGAAGACCGAATCCGGGCATCAAGCGGCCGAGGAGTCCGGTCGCAAAAGCTCTGTCCAGCTGACGGACACTCGACTGGAATGGGCCTGATTGTATAACCCGCCGTAATGTTTCTTGTGGAGTAGACGAGGTTTCCTTGGGCAAATCTGGGGGAAGGAATTCCTGCAAAGGAGCGAGCACATGACTGTTGGATGGTTCGAATAATGGAGACAAGGATGATGGAGATAGTATATCGGATAATGCGGTAGATGGCTGCATTTCCTGTAGAGCTGGGTTCACACCTGCCATCCTATTTGCCATCATCGCACGCAGCTGATCAACAATAGACTGGGATAAAGCACTGTTATCAAGGGCGCCTCGGGAGGTGCTAGGGTTATTTAACGCGGTCGATTCAGTGGCATTGAGTGCTGAATTTGATGCGGTTGCACCCGGAAGGCTGCAAAAATCCTGAAGTCAGACGCCAGAATTTATCATGTGATGGTTGTGGAGAGTGCTAAAGCTATAGGTGCTGAAATTCATAGCGCAGAGCAACAGGAAGATCTATCACGTTGATTTATAATTAGTCACTCACACCGTTGAAGGACTGGTATCCCATGAAGGCCGGAACTCTGGATCCTGTAACAATCCATTGACATTTTGTTCCACTTGCTCGAGCACGGATTGAGAAGAGTCCTATAGTGATCGTTATTCTACACGTACGCGTCTCATTCTTGCCACAATACCTGAATCCAGTACTGACAAAATATAAGCCAACAAGATCCAGATCTTCATATTGAATACGTACAAAATGTTTTTGGTCAGAAGATTCAAATTTAAGGACGAAGACACGTCCAGAGGAGGACTCGGTCACTCGCGTGAATGACGCGTCGCCTGGGATAATGATCAAGTCCTACGCGACGAAACAGTGAGTAGGGAATCACAGTGAATGATAAACACTAGTTACATCCTCGATATTGTTTGTTTCACGGTTTCTCCACGTGAAGTGGAGAAGTCCATCATCACCGGGAGCTAGCGCAAGCAAACCCTTTGTGGCTTGAGGATCGACCCAAGAAGTCGAAGCGCGGCGGAATGCACGTCCTGCTTTGATGCTGAGCATAGAGTTGGAGAGATAAGGAATGGCTAATTGGATTGTCCCACCTTGTACCCCACCACATTTTTGCAAGTGACCAGTCATTTTTAGGAGAAATATTAATTATTTACAAAATTATTCCAAAAAAGTGTCACCATTCAAAATTTGTATTGTTCTCCTCCCTCGACGCTTTTGGAGATCATGCCAACAATTTGGAGTCACGGCTGCTTTCTATTTCGGTTTGAGCGCGATTGTTGCACTGTATTGATCCCCGACTTGCTTCAGAAGCGTTGTAAGTGACATCTATACAATAAACAACAAGTGAGCAAATAACCCTTACAAAGTCGCGGGAGTTCCCTGGGCCATTGTTAAATCATGACGGGCCATTGAACAATAGCTGTCTGTTCCTCATACAGACCGTCAATTTTGATCTTCGGTGTGATGTTCAAGGTACCACTTCGATCAAATCCAGAGAGTCACATCTGCGATATGGAACGGCGTTGTATGTCCCAATTGGCCTATGCCGGTACCGTCTCGAGAGTTTCTGTTGATTATCTTGTGGAACCAATCGCTACATCCAAAAATATTTCTACGGAAGCTGCCGCAATGGGGCATTCCGTCTCAGCGTGACCATAAAAGCTGGCCTAAGTCTGTACAAGATATCCCTACGGGTGCATATCTCGAAGATACCCTCT